AAGAGTACGCTTAAGACGTTCCTCTTTGATAAAGCTTATAGTTAGGGCTGGATCAGGTGAGTCCTGAACCATCCCTTAGTTATGCTGCTATAGGCCTAGACTATCGGGGGATTTCCCATGATGCACTGAGCTCCTCTCTTTCTCTCTTTTTTTTTTTTTGATGTACCGCCACAAAACACGAATTTGCTATAACTTGAATGTACATTGTCCATTGGGCTCCAAAGAGTCCCGCCCTGAACACATCTATGTAACAATATTCAGATATAGTGATATCGCCACCTACTGGCAACAGGAAGTAAGCGCTGAATGGCAACATTAATCTGATATACGTGAAATTTTCATGTTTTGGTCTGCACTTTTGCAAGTCACGTGACGCGGCCGCAGCACACCACGAGTTGCGTGGAGTGCAATGCTTTAATTGTTATTATTCTTATTACTATTATTATTACTACAGATACTACTATTACTATAATCACTGCTCATTGTCCCCCATCGTTGTTGTTGTTGTCATCGTCATCATCTTCTTCATTCACTGCTATTAGTGAAGTTGTTGCTACTGTTGTTGTTGTGCACCCCCCCCAACTGGTCGAGGCAGACGACCACCCACCACCCATCTAGAGCCGAGGGGTCTGTCCAAGGTAAATATGTTATGTTAATGTTAATGTTATAAGGAGTTCGGTCTAGACCTGCACTACACTATTTGAAAAGTGTCAAGAGATAACTTCTGTTATGAATTGGCAAAATTAAATTGAATCAACATTGTGGCACCAGGCCAGAAATAAATCAGTCAGAGGCAGATCAGAGGAGATTTGTGGAAAAACACACCATTTTATATCCTTTTTCAAGGACAAAATACACAAGTAAACAATGCCAGGAAGGCAACACGTTCTGAAGATGCTCTGCTTCTGAAAACACTCGTTTTAAGGGAAAATGTGTACACTCTCAAATGTAATTGCTGTTGTGTGTGAAGAGCTCAGTCTTAGCCCTGTGTAAAGGCAGGAAAAGAGAAATACCTGATTTTTGTCCAGCTCACAGTTCTTATATTCCTGTTCTCCTTGCTCCTGGAAGGTGACAATGACAAAGCCCACAAATATATTCATCATGAAGAAGGCGATAAGGATGAGGTAGATGATAAAGAAGATTGAGATGGCCACTCGGTTGTTGTAAACTGGGCCTTTATCCTCCAAGTTTGAATCAATGGCTTTGTATAGTATCCTAGGTAAATAACAAAAAAAGACATACATAATAAAAAAGTCACACACAAATCCACAAACAGTCAATATGCAGACAGAAACAAGAATAACATACTGAAATGAATAGAAACCATCAGACAATTGACATAGAACAGTTCAAGACTCACTTTGGCCATCCTTCAAAGGTAGAAATGGTGAAGAGAGCCAGCATGCCATTGAAGATGTTGTCAAAGTTTAATTCTGAGTTGGTCCATTCCCTCTTATGGACCTCCAATTCATGAAGTGCCCCTTCCTGGTATTTTATATACCAGCCTCTGAGCCACAAAGTGGGAGGGAAATGGTAAATGGACTGTGCTTACATAGCGCCTTTCTAGCAAAGCCATCAAAAAGAAACTAACTCATTCTCTCATTCACATTAACACACATCGGGAGCAATTTGGGGTTCAGTATCTTGTTCAAGGACACATGCAGTTGAAGGAGCCAGGGATTGAACCCACTCTACCTCTGAGCCACAGCCATAAACAGGTGAGGTGAGGTGGGCTATAGTCAAAATCAGCATAATAAGGCTTTCTGCAGGGTTTAGTAGGTTATATTATATAAGTTTAATTATATAAGACTTTTTAATACTACATACAATGAAATGGAATAGCTATTTTACGCTCATACCAGCCAACATATTTTTCAGTACGTCCTTGCAGTATGTAACTACAATTCCTAATGATATAATTAGAGTCTGTTACCATAGTAACTGACACAGAAGTTAAAGGTTAGACCTTAATTACACTGACAAATGTGCGTCGTTCACTGAATGTATTTTCTAGTAGCAAAACACAGCATCATTGATCTTATTAACACAGCTAAGTCCTTACTTGCATGTTTCCTCAGTCATTTTGTCAGGATCTGTGCAGGCATTGAACTTGCCCTGGGAAGGTAATAAAGGGGCTTCATGAGAAGGCAGATAGACAATGACATTACCAAATACAGTGCTTGGCAACAGTAGGTCATTTTATCTCCTTTTCTTCTCACTTTGAAAAGTTGGACTCCAATGCAGGCAAACATGAAGTCCAGTAGCATGGTGACCAGTACAATATTTCCAATGGTCTTGACAGCAACAAACACACACTGGACCACATGCTAGAAAGACAGAGATAGTACAGATCAGTATGAGGCCATTTTCTATCTGCAAGTCTATTTACAGACATCTCATACCTTAAGTCCCTTGGCTCTGTTGATGGCCCTCAAGGGGCGAAGTACCCTTAACACCCTGAGAATCTTCACCACTGAGATGGCACTGGATCTAGATGATAAAAACACAGCCACACCATAATTACTTGGGTCTAATTTTTACTCCGTGACAACATGTTGTTGTTTAGCTCTGTAAAATGTCAAAATGTTGAGAGTCTTATGCAACATCTGGCCTGTACTACGAAGCAGGATTCGAGGAAACTGAGGTCACTTCAGGTTTAACCCCATTGCCAAGGTAACAGGTCTTATAGTAAATGGACTGTACTTGTATAGCACCTTTTTAGTCTTCTAGAACCACTTAAAAGGCTGTACCCTGCATGCTACATTCACCCATTCACACAATGATGGCCATCAAAAACAGAAACAAATACTCATTCATCCACATTCATACACCGATGCACAGCACTATTGTTATGAAATACAGTAAGGACATACATATTAATGGCTGAGAAGTCTAAGTATTTGTTTCAAGAGCTGGAAATACAGACAATTCATCGGTTACAACTCAGGCGGGACTCTCAATTGGCTCTCGTTTTACATGTGACTTTTGTTTCACTTCTGGTGTGGCAGATCTGCAAATGTGTGTGGAGATCTGTGTGTGAGGAGAGATTTGTCCGTGTGCATCAGTAGCCACGCACACTTCTGTCTGACGAAAGCCCTGAAAGAATAAGTAATGTACAGTAGTTTAGAAAATTAACGTCTACCGGGACTTAACTACCTATAGTTAACTAGCTGCAGTTAATGGATAGATGAGACAGAGAGCAGCTGGAGGACATCAAAGGGAATATGATCCACTTTCACCATTGTAATGTGTTTTTATACAATAATCAGTGAGGCCAGGCCCCCAGCAACAATGCCATTTTTCATCTAGCGTCTTCCAACCTAATTTTGAACTCATTTGTGGTCTGATAAACAGTAAATTAAGTCATTAAAGTGCCCCATATCGCTTTTTTCCTGGTTTAATCTAAAGTGGGTTAAAAAATGAAGACAGCGCAGCAATGTCACGCTACCACCGACTGGTGGTCTGTAGGCTGTGTAGCTACTGATGCACACAGACAAATCTCTCATCACACACAGATCTCCACATGCATTAGCAGATCTGCCATGCCAGAAGTGTAGCAAAAGTCACGTGTAAAACGACAATGAATTGTCTGTATTTCCATCTTTTGGAGCAAATACTTAGATTTCTCAGCCTTTAATATGTATGTGTGCACTTACAGATTTGTCCACGCATTTTCAGATCTATATGCACATTTACAGATTTGACTACATATTTACAAATCTCAATACATTTGCAAATCTGAACAAAGAGTTTTTACACACTTACAAATCTGATTATGCGCACACAGATTCTGAACACACATCTGCAGATTCCTGTATACATTTCCAAATCTCAGTACATATTTACAGATTATTTTACTAAGGCTGTCAAAATAACGCATTAATTTCGATTAATTAATTTGAGAAAAATAACGGATTAAAAAAAATAATGCAGATTAATCGATTCCGTATTGACCTTTGACCCGGAGCCGATCTAGTCAGTCACCACCATTAGACTGTGAAATGTAGGAGGGAGACGAGAACGCGCTGCCTGGATCATTGATTGGAACATTTACTTACAAACAGCCTGATGGAAGTGTTGATAAAAATAAAGTCCTCTGCAATGTCTGCAGCAAGGAATTTGCATATCACTGGAGTTCGTCAGCTCTAAAGTACCACATCAATGCAAAGCATCCAGGAGTTAATCCGGAGGTAGGCCTACAACCTAGCATGTCCCTTGATACCAACTCTAGCAGTCAATCTCATCTTCAAACCACACTGGAGCAAACACTGAAACGTAAACTTATCTGTAAACTTATCAAATCTGTATGTGACCCACTGAGCAATTCCCTTGCTAAATGGATCGCAATGTCCTGCAGACCAGTTTCGGTGATAGAAGACAGGGGGTTAGCAGAGGTTTTGCAAATAGCCTCTTCAGACATTACATATAACCCGCCATCACGAAACACCACTATGTCAAAAATCCAGCAGCTGTACAACACTGAAAAAAAAACAAAAGGAGATGTACTGATGGGAGCAGAATATATCACGCTGATAGGGCATCACTGGACTTCAGTTAGCAATCACAATTACCTTGGTGTTACGGCACACATCATTGACTGTGAGTGGAAACTCCAGTCATTTGCGTTAGCAATACTAAAAACGGACACCAGGCATTATGCCGATGCCTGCGCCCAGCACTTTTTGTCTATGGCGGAGGCATGGGGAGTTCAACAAAAGATCACCACAGTCGGCACAGACAGCGCCCGGAACATGATTGCTGCCGCGAGAAAGCTTCCATATGAGCACATGCCTTGTGTTGCTCATATGCTACAGAGAAGCATCACTGTTTGCCTTGCAGACAGAGGGTTTTGGGACACATTGGCAAAGTCGTAAGATAGTGGGACATTTTAAACATAGCCCTGCCAATACAGAGGAGCTCCACCAGTAGCAAAATCAACTTGGGCAACTGACAGAAAGTCTGATTCAGGACGTTCCCACAAGATGGAACTCGTCACTCGCCATGATCTCTCGTCTCCTGAAGAACCAGGAGGCTATCAAGGCTACACTGAGCAGACAGAACACAAGCCGAATATGTTGACTACATCTGAGTTGGACAAACTTCAGAGGCTGGAAACCATCCTTGAACCATGCAGGTAAAAGCTTACACACACACACACACACACACACACACACACACACACAAACAAAACGTCTTTTTTTATTCATTGTGAAGAAATTTACCATACTTTATTTTGCAAATTGTAGAAGTAGGCTAGGCTACTACTATGACACTGATATAATAAATGTACTGTGTGCATCTCTTATCATCCACTGTAGATATGTGACTGAGGTCCTTGGAGGTGAGACTTATGTTTCTTGCTCTGTGGTGTTGCCTGCTCTCTGTCACGTTTACCGCACAATGGAAGGTTCGGAGGAGGACCCAGCCTACATTGGAAAATTCAAGACTGCCTTTAAAAAGGAGCTGTCTGAACGGCAAGCAAACCTCAACAATGGATGGCTCAACATAGCTTCAGCACTGGAGCCACGCTTCAAGGACTTGAAGTATCTTCAAAAAGGAGACAGAGAAGAGGTGTGGACCAGCCTTCAGGTACTGCTGCGAAATAAAGCCAGTACGGCTACCCCACAGCCTGCAGAAGAGCCACCGAAAAAGAGAAGCCTCCTACTCTTTGCTTCAGACACAGACTCAGATGATGACACGGTGGAACCAAGCAGGACTCTGAACCACTACAAAGCAGAGCCCA